GACACAGTGACTGCAAAAGATGGCCTTAAGGTTGGTGGAGACTGTCAATATGAGAAGGGTTGGGAAAGGCTTCAATCTCTTGTTCATAGGGTTGCTTGATCGCTCCTACCAAAACCAACAAGAACACAAAACTATTCCATGGCGTTTAAGCACTAGGCTGCTAAGCAAAGATAAGATGAATTGATAAAATATTAAAGCCTCATTTAAGTCAGATATCCTACAATCTTAACGAACATAATTAAGCCTACATTCCGGGAGGAACAGAGTACGCTCTCCATTGTACAAATGTTGATTCATTTCTACTTATGATGCTAAAGTCTCCCTTTCTGGACATCAAAAGGTCTGATCTCTCTATATTTATACAAATATATATATTTAGAAGGGTTTAGAAGCGGTCGTGGTACTAGGGATATTGTAGCTGATGTTAGACGGATCTTGGCTGAAAGCAGGGAATACCAGAGGAATGTCTATCTGTGTTTCATTGACTATGCAAAGGCATTTGACTGTGTAGATCATAATAAACTATGGCTGACTCTGAGAAGAATGGGAATCCCAGAACACTTGATTGTTCTAATGCGAAACTTATACTTGGACCAGGAGGCAGTCGTCAGAACAGAGCAAGGGAACACTGCATGGTTCAAAACTGGGAAGGGAGTACGCCAGGGATGCATCCTATCTCCATACCTTTTCAACCTATATGCAGAACAGATTATCCGGGAGGCTGGGCTCTATGAGGAGAAATGCCGGGTCAAGATTGGTGGATGATTTATCAACAATCTGCGTTATGCGGATGACACAACCCTGCTTGCTGAAACTGAAGAGGACCTGAAGCGCCTGCTGCAGAGTGTCAAGGACTGCAGCCTACAATATGGATTGAGGCTCAATGTCAAGAAGACTAAGATTCTCACCACTGGACCAATTGGCAGCATCAGTATGGATGGTGAAGGGATTGAGATTGTACACAGCTTTAGTTTGCCACAGTCAACAGTCGTGGCACCAGTAGCCAGGAAATTAAAAGGCGCATTGCCATGCGAAAGTCTGCTGTTAGGGACCTCTCCAAAGTACTGAAGAGCAATGGTGTGTCTCTGGAGACTAAGGTGCATCTGATACAGGCCATGGTCTTCACAATCACTTGTTATGCATCAGAGAGTTGGACAATGACCAAGGAGGACAGAAGGATAATTGATGCCTTTGAGCTGTGGTGCTGGAGAAGAGTGTTGAGAATACCATGGACTGCTAGGAAAACAAACAAATTTGTCCTGGAAAGGGTTAAACCGGGTGGCTCCTTGGAGGCAATGATTCTGAGGCTCTGTCTAACATACTTTGGACATGTTTTGAGGAGAGACCGGTCCTTGGAGACGGACATCATGCTTGGGAGGGTGGAGAGACAGCGCAGGAGAGGAAGGCCCTTTATGAGGTGGATTGATTCAGTGACTGGGATAATTGGGAAGGGAGTGTCAGAGACAGTGCGATTGGCACAGGACAGAGCGGAGTTTAGGGCTGTTGTACATAGGGTCGCTATGAGTCGCAAGCGACTCGACGGCACATAACAACAGCAACAACATATATATTTATATATGATGATGTTGTCCCTCCTGACATTATAAATACCAGTGGCAGAGTTTCCAGGATCATAGCAACATTCAAGCCACCATACAAAATAATAAGCTGACAGACGATTGACATAGTGACTGAGCAGGGGCAGGATCAAGTCTGGTTTTATTCTGTTGTACATAGAACCACTATGTACTTTTGTGACTTGTGCTTTGCTGTGATGTTAGAAGTAATGCTAGCAGAATCTCAAATAATAGGTATCAGTCCACCTGTGGTAGACAGGCTTTACTAGTCCTTCCAAAATAAGAAAACTAGGAAGAAAGTCCTATCAATGTAAATAAACAACAACAACAAAACCCCTCTCTGTGGATGATAATATAGTGTGTTAGAGAGGACTAGAAGGCACTCAAACTACATAGTTACAGAAAACAGAAAAATAAGCGTGAGCATACTAGGATGCTGAAGATGGCACAGGACAGGGCAATGTTTGTGTTCTTCCTGCTGTGACACAGCAAACAAGAATTACATATAAATAAATGTACAATTCTCTTATACTTTTTAAAGTGGTAAGAACACCAAGAATTCATTTTACAGGTGATACAACACTCCTGTACTCTGACAAACATACCTGATGATTTGGGTACAGTAGAAACTTCTTTACTAGCTTTTCTAACGTTTCTTTTCAGGAGAATAAGAAAAAACAATCTTCAGCTTGAAACTAAACAAGAAGTAAGATCTAGTGAAAGTTCAAAGAAAATGACTGCATTATCAGGTGACCACAGATGGTCACTGGAGGCTAAATCGTTGCTACAAAGGGGAAGAGATGCCCCAGAAAACTCACTAGAGTCTCAACTGAGTCCCAAGTGGAAGGTACACAACATTTTTAAGTGACTTCAAAATATACTGTGCAAGTGGCGACCTCTCTGGGTCACCTGAGCAACCGGGGTGAGGGAGGGAACCAAACTCAAGTTTCAAGGGGAACTCTGGTGGTCTAGTGTTTAGAAGCTGCAATTCCAAAGCCATGAGGTTCAAATCCACTAGCTGCTCTGTGAGAGAAGGATATAGGCAAACCCCTCCTTTGTGATTTACTGCCTCTGAAAACCTGCTGGAGGGTCAGCTATGGGTTTGTTCTGACTCCATGGCACATAACAACAAAAGAAGTTGTTATGTGCCATCAAGTCATCTGTGACTCAGTGACCCTATGTACAACAGCCCTAAATCCTGCCCTATCCTGTGCCAGTCTTATTGTCTCTGACACACCTAATCCAATTACCCTAATCATTGAATCAATCCATCTTGAGGGTCTTCCTCTCCTGCGCTGTCCCTCCACCCTATCAAGCATGACGTCTTTCTCCAAGGACTGGTCTCACCTTGCAACATGTCCAAGGTATGTCAAACGAAGCTTCAGAATTATTGCCTCCAAGAAATCTAGTCTCACCCTCTCTAGGACGAACCTGTTTGTTCTCCTAGCAGTCCATGGTATATTCAGTATGTTCTCCAGCACCACAGCTCAAAGGCATCAATTCTCCTGTCATCCCTAGTTATTGTTCAACTTTCTGATGCATAGAAAGTAATTGCAAAAGTATGGCCTGGAGCAGACACACCTCTTAAGTTTCCAGACTTATGTCATTGCTGTATAGCACTCTAGAGAGGTCTCTAACAGCAGACTTTTGCAAAGCAATTCGTCTTTTAGTTTCTTGGCTGCTGGTACTAAAAGTGTTGATTGTGGTGTCAAGCAAACGAAAGCTCTTAAGAATTTCAATCTCTTCACCATCTATCATGATGCTGTCAATTGGCCCAGTGGTTAGAATCTTTGTTTGTTTGTTTTTTATGTTTAGCTTCAATCCATATTGAAGGCTGCAGTTCTTGACCTTCGGCAGCAAGTGCTTCAGATCCTCCTCAGTTTCAGCAAGCAAGGTTGTGTCATCTGCATAACGCAGATTGTTGAGTCTTCCTCCAATCCTGATGCCACATTCCTTCCTCCTCATAGAGCCCAGCCTCCCAGATAATCTGTTCTGCATATATATTGAAAAGGTATGGAGACAGGACACATCCCTGGCATACACCCTTTCCAATTCTGAACCATGCAGTGTTTTCTCTGTTCCGAAGACTGCCTCTTGGTCCAAGTATAGGTTTCGCATTAGCACAATCAAGTGTTCTGGGATTCCCATTCTTCTCAGCCACAATTTGTTGTGATCCACAAAGTCAAATGCCTTTGTATAGTCAATGAAACACAGATAGGCATTCCTGTGGTAAACATTCACGCCTTTAAAAAGTTGTCTGGAAAACATCCTTATGCAAAACCTTTTTATTCGAAGAGGATGGTCTGACCTGTCACAGACTCCCATCCGCCAAGTCTAGAAGAGTTACGCTGAGGTATCTCAGGCCTGACCCTTCAGCTCTGAAGTCAGCAGTGCAACGCGTGGTACACTGCACGCTGCCAACCAAGAGGTCGGCCAGGTGCAAACCCGCTCCTCTCCCAGGGCGCGCACCCGAGATCTGGGGAGGGGAGGGCGTGGAGGTGGCTCCTTCGGAGCATCCAATCGGCAGCGAGGCTCGGCAGTGGTGCTAGTGACGTCCCCAGCGCCTTTCCCCGCCCCACTGCGGGAGGACGCTTTGCGTCGTCGGCAGAGCCAGCCCAAGTGGGAGGCGAGGGGGAGGAGGAGGGTTGCAGAACCCGCCGGCTGTCGGAGGGCGGCAGAGCATGGAGTGAGCATGCGCAGCGGGCTCCGGGCTCTAGGGGCACCGGGGGTGGGGCCCCCACGCGCGCGCGCGCGCGCACGATCTTCCCGGCGGCGGCTGAGGGTGGAGGGGGCGGTTCCTCAAGTGTCAGCAGCCGGAGGGCGGGTAGGCGGGCGGCAGGTGCCGCCGCGGCCGCTGCCGCAACCTCCTCCTTCCCCCGGTTCTCCTCGTCCTTTGCCGGCAATGATCCGGGCCCCACCAGGAGCTACACCTGCTCGCAGCCCATCACCTCCAGCCTCCGGGCCCGACTTAGGCCTGCTCATCGGCCCGGCCCCCGCGGCGCGGTGCGGCCGCTGAGAGGGAGCTGCGGCGGCCTCCTTCATCCGGAGTCCGCGCTCGGGGGCCGTGCGGGGAGAGCGCCGACCCCTCCCCACCCCTCTCCCGACCGCTGTCCTCAATGTCTCCCCGGCGGGGAGGGGGCTGCCTTGGAGACGCGCTGAGCGGCGCCCGCCGGAGGCCCATCGGCAGCAGCAGCAGCGCCCGGCCCGGCGCCCCGCAGC